AGCTCTAGTTGACACCCAGTCAGCCCGATATGGGAAACGCCCTAAACTAGTTTCAATTCAATTTTCTTTTTCCTGCCTATTTTTGTGTTGAGATTTAAGTGTATATAAAATCACGAACTTTAAACTTCTGTTTTTGCTGTTATTCAAACTTCCCAAACTTAAAGGACGAGAAGGACTAAGGTTCCTTTTTGCCACCTAAGGCAGCCCATGCCAAATATAGTCTTACTAAAGATGAGACAAATTGAACGAATGTTCAAATTATATATATTGTGAATCTTGTGTCCAAAAAAGATTTAATCAAAGGTTTGTGGGAGCAGAAAAGGCGTGGAGTGGAGAGGTTACGCACACATGCAAGTTAATGACTCGTTGGTTTTGCTTCTCGCGCAGAGTTCTTCGGTAGTTTTCTTCGGTTATGACAAACCACTTCTTTTTGAATTGGAAACTGAGAAGACGAGAATAGTATTATCTTATATGGTGAATGTAAAATCTTTTTTAAATAATATACTATTATACTTACCGCTGACCACTACTTTTACCACCCTCTTGCCATTCCCTCGGTTTGCTGTTGGCACGACTTCATATGGTCTGGCGGTTAGGATTTCTGGTTTTCATTCAGTCGACCCAGGTTCCACTCACGGTGAAAGAAGTAATTTTTTCTTTTGCAATATACATACAATGTATCTATAGACAATTTTTTTAAAAAGTAAGCAAGGAACTGAACTGATTTTCCCATTCATTTACTGATGGAAACTCTCGTTATCGGAAGATTGCTGAGAATTAAGTCAATTTCATCAAATTTAATTCAATCTTCTTTCGTATGCAAGTAAAAAAAAACGCAACTCGGGTCCTGTATGACGATTGACCTAATGACTAGCTCATTCTCCTCTTTAAGTGGAGATAACATTCATTTGGAGATAAAAGGATATTTTAAGAGAGAATGGTCATAAAGTTGATCGAGCTATTAAAGGTTGTAAGGTTCAGGGCAAGTCGTACTTAACTATTTACAATCCTCTTGATGTATGTAAACTTTATTTTTGATTTGACCTCGTCTGGAGCCAAGTTGAGTGTAATGTCTGGATCAACCTCATTTGAACCTTTTAACTGGCTCCCAATCTGACTCAGAAGTGGGGAGGCCTGGGTCTACAGGGAACATATTTATTAATAAGTGTCTAGATTTCTAGTCTAAAATGGAGATGTCTGAGCCGGATACTCAAGATTTTCCTGAAGCAATGGCAAGTATTGTAGGTTTAGAATCCAATTTATGGTGCTATAATCTGAAAAGTAAACAACTGAAAAAAAATTTCCGAACTTGAAAATAATTGACATTTTGGTGAAAAAGACCTTTTCGTAAGAAGACTAAAAGAAGACCTTTCTACACCGGGATTCAAACCCAGGCCATCTGTTCGTAAGCCAATTATCCTTATAGTTTTACCAAATGAAATGCTTGGGAGTTTGTGATTGATAGTCTGTATGGCGACTGGATAAACTGATGATATTCATTCGGTTATGGTATTGTTTGCTCCTCCAACCGATAAAATTAGTCGAAAAATAAGTCTGCTGAGCTATCATCGTAATTTTCTATTCTGAATGAACACCCAAAAGATTGAGCTAACAAGTAAAATAACTGATCTAAAAAGAAATCAAATGTTTCATCAGAAGTAAGAGGACAGCACCGGAAATTACTCAGGGCCTTTATCGTATCCCATATGGTCTAGCGGTTAGGATTCCTGGCTTTCACCCAGGCGGCCCGGGTTCGACTCCCGGTATGGGAACAGCGTAAGGTGTTGCCGTTGTGATCATTTCAAAAAAGGAAATTTTTCGGCGCGACTTTAGTTCAATTTTTTCATGCTCTTAATTCAAAGTCATAATGATCTTCAGACAAAACCAAGCGAAGCTTTTTCCCTGCTATCTTGTGTTTTTTTAAAAAAATCATATTTTCAAGAAAAATAGTTAATACCCTTTGACCGTTTTTTAATGTTTATTCATTATAAGAAAGGAACAAAATAAACGACGAAATGATATACATATGAATGGATAGGTGAATTTAAAGATAAATTTTTATATGATAGCAGTCACATCTAGTATGATCACAAAGAAAAGTTCCCTTTAGCTACCAGATTTAGTGATGGATAGTTCTGACCCAACTCCAGTGGAAACTATCAATTTTGCATGCATACTATTTTCATTGTAAGTTTCTGGACATGAAAGCTAAATTATTTGTAATCACTTTAATAAACGAAAGAATAAAAGCTTTTTATATTCTTGATTGAAAAAAACCGATCTCGAGTTTCGATCCCTTCAAAAGGATCCGGAATCGATCCTGTGTGTAATCTGTCTTGGAAACCTTAGCCTAGTGTTTGTTGCTGAGGTCAGTTTTAATGTGCGAAAATCAGATTCAAGCTTTCAGGATGTCAAGTGATACAAAAGGGTCACTCTCTCAAACTGCAATTTTCAAGGTCGAGTGAAAAAAATAATGTCTTCGTGAATTCAAATTTACAATCACGATTAATTAAATTTTCTCGTAGTTTTGAAATCTGCATGACTTAGCGAATGTGTCTTTCTTACTTCAAAATTTTTAGACTCTAAAGTGAATTACATAATTTTTGCTAAAAAAAAATACAAAGGAGCCTTAAAGATTTCAATTCAAGCATTTTTATTTTTGTCTATGTTTATGTTATTTCTCGAAATCCCTACGCGCCACCAAAGATTTCTTTTCCTCACCTTGGTTTTGTGTAATAATCTTGGATCAAATAACTTTTTTCCGGAAACACATGAATTGGATTTCTAATTCCAAACCATTTTGTGGGAATGCACTTCAAAGAATAACAACAACGAAAAAAATACTTATTAATCTTAAGCATGTGGTTATCAAAAACAGAGAGGATAGACGTAACACCTTGTTAGATTTAGGTGTGCGGACAGCAGGAAACAAAGAACATTTTATTGAGCGATATTAGTTTAAAATTACCTTCTCTTGCGAGAACCAGTTACTTGACTCACGAAACTTCTAGAGAAATAGACTCGTCATTGAAACTTTTCTAGATGAGCGTTGAAATCAGCCTGAACGCTTTTCATCGACTGTTGCAATTTGTAAACTGTCGACTCAGTGTACGATGAAATACATGTTAATTGAGAGGACAAGTAATTCCATTCTTTCCGTTCTCGGTGCCGACACTAATTAAAAGCAAGTAATTGCTACCCAGACTATTCAAAGCCTGCACAATAAGATCTTTAAACCAAAAAAGCTTTACTCGGTAATTTGGAACTCTCAGTTTTTTTTTTATCTCAGTGCACAAACTGGTTAGCATTTCCGGATATCTTAGGCGTTTTTCGTGCGTATGGGAAGAATCTAAAAGAGTTCCATACGATATTTCTCACAACTGAGAACTGTGAAATAAGTAACGACTGATATCTTCAAGCAACCATAATTTTCGTGGTTTGCGTCAAGTTGCGAAAACCGAATTTTCTTCGAGGAGGTTCTTTGTCCCGCGAAATAAAACAACGGTACAACAGCTCTAACAATTTGTTAATTTAATAAATAAACGACTTCTCTTTTCAGTTTCTCGTTAGTGAGCCATTAATCATTCCGAGACAACCAGACTGACAGAAAAGATTCAGCTATTTGTACTGCTGAGTAAAAATACAGACGTGAGAACATTCTCCAACATCGATAGCCACACACTTTGGAAGTTGATGATACAATTGTCTAAGAATGGATGCCGCGATCATTCGTTTGCAGTTCAAGTATAGAATGCATACTTCGTGCATGCTTTGTACGTTCAATTCTGAAATTGCGTAGCAAAGGAGGCGCAGTCTTAACCGAGTTTATTATAATCGTTGACTAGGATCTCGTCGGTCATCACAAAAATTGTTATTCAAAACATCACATGGACGTTAGAATAACACTCGGATGACGAAGCTCCTTTAAAATAACAAACCATAGAAAGCTGGCTAGAATAATATACCTAATAATTTCACTAGAAGTTAAAAAGAATTATTTGTTTGTAAGAACGCAACATTTATGATTTTAGGGCCTATTTTTAGAATACGCTGGTGGCCTAGAAACCCAATAAACTTGACTGTCCTATTTAAATCCCTCTTTCGTGTTAAAGGCGCTAAACGAAAATATGATCAGTGCAAAATCTTTTCGCCATGCGGAGAGATTCCCATAAAGTCCTTAACCCTACTTACATACCAATTTAAAGCTAACGCAGGTGATAAATTCCTTACGGCAAGTTTTCATGTCATCGAGTCTCTATAGTGAGTTAGCATTGTTCGAAGCCAATCGCTTCGTAACGTTGATTGAAGAACTTTGGCCTAAGTACAACCTTGAGTGTTTGTATTTATTTACAATCCCCAACGCGCAAGCGGCATTACTGTAAAAGTCAATATGGTGACTGACTGGCAGGTTATTAATCATAGGTCAACAGGTGATTCCACAAATGAAAAACATTTGCGCCAGCGAGACTCCATTTGGAACACGCGATAAAAGATTCCGTTTGTGTCATGTGCTGAAATAGTTGTAGACCGACCGCCAGTATTTTTGCACCGCCCCTTAGCGTTTTCCTCCTCGCGGGATACTGATCAAAGAGACTGACGGAGATTTATGGCTCAATTGCCATGAAGATTTATTGCAGGTTATCTTAACACTTGTTACAGTGTTGTGTTTCATTCAGATCCCCGGGAAAGCTTTTCAATATGGCTAAAAATGACATTAAAGTACTTCAAAGAAAAATCGTCAATAAGGGCCTGTAGTGCGTGCAGAGTAGGAGACACTACTCTCCGCTTGAGTTTTCACCGTCTGTTTAGCAAGTTGTCTGGTTTAATGTATGTGCAGAAGGTGCATGAAAAATTACCCACCAAGTACTCTGCACTCGACAACGTTGAGGTCATGAACCCAGAGTGGTACTTGATTCTGATTGGTGGAAATGGGTCACGTGAAGCGGTAAAAACTCCCTCCACTAGTCGATTTGTCATAACTCATGTTGTTAAGGGTTAAGATGTCAGGTCCAAATAAATCATCTTCGACAAACATGGCCCGTCCGTTGCTTTATCCAACATCGGCAGAGATTTATGCTCAGCAATACACTTCGCAGCTGTCCTCGACATTTGAGCGCCAAATCAATTTGACAGGGAATTATTTTCCTTTTCTAGAAGTTTCAACCCGGAGAACTTCAAGCCAAAATTACAATACCCCGCCATCACGACAAAGCTTTCACGGTGAAGACACAAGAACGACCTTGTCTCATCAAACAACACCGATACCAGACTATCTCCTTCAGCCAATTTATCCGTGGATGAAGTCAAAGAAAGGCGGTAAATCGGACTTTGGATTTGGTAGGTCATCTTTTTGGCAACTGCTGATAACCTTATTTTTCTTTTGGATAACTTGTCCGTAGCTTTTTAGCGTGAGATGGAATCTGGAGGTTTTTTTTTTTTTTCCTGCGGCTTAGAAGAAAGCGGAACAAAGCTAATCCGGTTTTCCTTCATTCACTTGGCGCACGACGACTCAGTAGTTGACTTACAAACATTGAATGACCTTTTCGAGATTTTAGAATGGTTCGTTTGTCCTCTATTATATAATATTGAGTATCTCTTCTGTCAAAAGGGCGGAGGTTTGAAGAGTAAGATGTCTCTTCTTGTGATTAATGAAGTCCGCATTGAGCTAATTTTGTTGCTCGGTGAGCTGATAGATGCCAACGAAAGATCGCATGTTGACATTCATTTGTAACAGGCAGTACACGGGGATGTTTGCAAACATCTACCTGACATTGTTAGCATGTTGAGACGTTCTCATTGGTGAGAGAGTTTGTTTGATTATGGGACCATGTGCCTATTGAATAACAAATAGACATCCCATTAGATCTGAAGTGAAATCTTCCTTTACCCGAATTTAAAGCTTGAACTTTGAGCAATTGGGGCGGAAGAGAACTGTTACTTATAAAGTAAGTCGTTTCTTAGATGTGGGATTCCGAGTCATTGTTCTATTTTAAATTGCCTTTTCAAATTTCTATTCATTTCACACCAGCATTTAGTGCTGATTTTCAAAATTGCGTTCGAACCCATGGCCTTGGACAGTTCGCTTATGCTAGCTGTTTCCCCCCGCATGTTGTCATTTAAAAATGCTTTGCTTTTCTTCAATGAGAGCTTTCTTTTCATGTCTCCTTTATTTCAAATTTTCAGGCCAGAGACAAGCGAAGCGGCACAGAACGAGTTATACGAACAAGCAGCTTCTAGAATTGGAGAAAGAGTTTCACTTCAACAAGTATCTGTGCAGTTCTAGAAGGAGCGAGATTGCAAAGACCCTTAGTCTGTCTGAACGACAAGTCAAGATCTGGTTTCAAAACCGTCGAATGAAATGGAAAAAAGATGAAAAAGTTAATGAAGGCCCCGAGAAAACTAGTCCGCGATTTATGGACACCCAAGAAACACAGCGACACATAATGTCTTGTTCCCCTCTCTGCCATTCACCGCCCGTTCGTCAAGCGTGTCAAGCTGAAAACTTTCACTGATAGTGTGAACAGAAAGCAACGGTACGAACAAGTCTCATTCAATACGGAGACCAATCTTTTGTGGACATTGCGGTATGTTAATTATGGTAACATTGTACAAATTTGAGCGTTATTTAATGGAAGGAACTCTTGTTAGCAAAGATCAGTACCTTTCCGCCTTTTCGCGTTTCTAATCCAGTGTTAATCCATTTCAAAAGGCCAATCGACACCATATTTCCTTTCTCCTTGTTAAAGGTGTGAATAGTATTGGGAAGAGCTTACGTCTTTAGAGTTCCTCGCAAGAAATTATTTATTGAATGTAATTTTTCGTTTGTTGCCGCTAACGCTGCAATATGGAGTTTGTACAAATACTCGATCCATTCACAAAGTCAGTTGAAGTTCATTTTAGTGCACAGCAAGCGCGCTGTTTTACTGCACACAGACAGTCGGTGAGATTTTCTTTGTTTTTTAAGAGATTCACAGCCGAAAAATTTTCACCTTCGCCTTTCCGCTATCTTGTTAGTCGCATTCCAGAATACCACCGACCATGCATGATTCCGCCAAACAGTTTCAGATATGTTCTCGTTTTCTACGTTTATTGCTTCGAAGGATAACTTTAAAATACAGGTCACATAGCACTTGTTAGATGTTACTCTCCTGTAGGTAATAAAAGATATTTTCATACGTCTCTCTATGTATACCTTGTTTGTCGCTGTTTTAGTCGTGAATTCTACGAGCGTAAGGGAAGTATGAGGCACGCTTTAGGAGCTGTCTTTCTGAACTCTTCTATTTTAAACTGTCTTTATTTATTTCTATGGGCACTCTACGGCATTCGACTTCAGTAAAAGAGAAATTGTGTTGATAGATTCTTTAATTAAAACAAAGTCCTAAAGCTAAGTTAAAGGCAACGTTTTTAACTTAATGAAGTGAATTCTTTCCATTAGAAAAGAGTACGCCATTTTGATGGCACTTCCATCTTCTTATCATAGTTATATAAAATACTTGCCTATCAGCTTTGGTAAGAATTTAGGAAAATAACTTCCTCATAAAAAATTACACAATGTTGTCCACAAAACAGTAGGGACAGTGCCACTCTAAAGACAGCTCAAATGTGCGATACAAAGCAGCCATTGATTTTCATTAAAAAACTCTCCATAACAGTCACGGTTTTCCTTCTTATCCAGACAAGCAGTACCCTGACTGTTTCCGCTCATCTCTAAGTAATAATTTCGTTCAGAACTTTAAGTGAAAATCTAAATTTAACTCTTTTGACATCCAAAGACGATCGTCTAAGACGTGTCAGGGTTCATAAATCACTGAAACTCGCGGGAAGCCATCTTGTCTGACAACAAAGGGAACCGTAACTGCAAATGCAAACGAAAACAGCCAGCGTACTTTGTGTGATGGAGAAGAAATTGTCCTTGATGAGGAAAGGCCTACAAGAAATTTAGATGAAAAGTTTGCAATGAGAGTAGAAATGAATAATAAGTAAACTCAAAAATGAAGCGGCGCTTTGCCATCAAACACCTATTTACACAACTAGTGAGCAACTCCTATTCAAAATAATTTCAATTCAATCTTTACTTCAATGGCAGCCAAACCTTTCACATTTGTGCTGCAAAATCTTGATTGACGGTTGCAAATTATCGTACAACATATAAGAAAGTAGACCAATTCCGTCAAAGGCAATAATTGCTCAACTACTCAGAGGTGAAGATAATTATACTTTCGCAAAGAGGTCATAAATCACTGAAAACTTCTGTCTGTGTTTGTGCTAAACCATTTACCTATCTAACGACAATTCTAAAACTGAAATCGCTTTTAATTGTTCTATTCTGATATCTAGTCGTAGTTTGTTCACTACAGAGACGTTATTAGGGTAGTTATAGGACAAAATGTTTCCTTTCTCTCAAACGAAAGGAGGTAGAGTGAACCTTAGAAATCTCACGTTTCAAGATATGTCTTGAACTATGAGTTTCTTAATAAATTCTTAATTTAACGTTTACTAAACTAAAACCAAAGTTATTTCCTGTCTGAGCAGAAAATACCCGATGCCAGTCAAAGCTGAGTGTTTTAATTGGAAAATGGAAGAGTCAATTAATTATAGTGTAGAATTATTTGTCGTTTTCCTTGGGTGAGTCTTATCTGTCTGCAGTAGATGACCGCCATTGGCAGCGAGGGAGCCCTTTGCACGCCTAAATATTTTAACAAATGAAATACCATTAAACATGACATTACTTGATTTAAAATTCAGCTATAAGATTTGGTGATAACTTCTGTACTCAGGACGAATAGTTACGGGCAATTTAATTATCGCCTTTGCTGGATTATAAAACGAATTTACAATTCAGTTGTTCTCCGATATTGAGTTCAAAAATATCTAAATTGTGAAAGTCTCCGGCTTAGCCAAAAAGTACCTATTTTATGGTGGAAATTATAAGCTTGATGAGCGAAAAAAGCAGAATATTCATATACTAATAAGTAATAACTTCATGAGATGCTCCTTTTAAAGAGGGATGTTGGAAAGGATCGTAGAACTGATTCCTTCTCCATTGTTATGTACCATTCCAACCACGCAGTAGTTTCATGCAAACTGATTTCTTTAATCTACAGTAGCTTCCTTTCGGAGAAGCTCGTCCGCATTTGCTGTGTTCATTTGTTAATAAAATCGAGCTATGCCAAAGGTTTCGTCCGACCACCGTGAATAATAATAAATCCATTCCAATATTTACTACGTTACTCTCCTTGGTAATACATGATATCAAAGTTGCCTCCTGTCGCCACAGCAAGCTTTTTGAAGTCGTTAGATGTAACGTACTCTCGAAAGAAAATGTAAAGAAAGATTTTTACCAACATGAAAGGATCAGTTTAGGAAAGATAGTTCAAACATCACTCGACAAGATCTTTCTACTTTAATGTCCTACATAAGTTTTCGTGCTAACGCGGTGTTCTTGTGACTGCATTCTTGTTTTCACAGAGTTCATTCCCGCTAAGTTGCAGTTTTAGCCTTGCTTTATCTGATTTTGGTCATAGTGAAAGAAAACGTGCGAAACCTTTGTTTTTGGGCGCCATTTTGTTGATAACGGTGCGGAATGCATCACTCCGGCGGAAGAGAACGATATAATCGTAAAAGTTGCCCATTGCCAACAATGAAGCGAATACAGCTGTATTTTCATGAAAACCAGAGCTGTCTGTTTTGTGTAGAAATGCCAGTGAGCAAATCGAAATCAAAGAATACCGAGAATAATAAATCAACTTCAAGACAGTTTAAATGAGTCTGTGTGTCCGGCGAGTAAAATTTTGCAATTCCACTCGACAGGAGCCTCAAGTAGTTTCCTGAATGTTAATTGACTTACTCCCTTTCATTAAGTAAACAAATCAGTTCTCTCCAGAAGGACTTATAAAACATTCGCTTTGCTAAGCTTTGAACTACTTCAATCCAATAAATCGCTGAGAAATCTTTCGGCTTTCTTACGGTGTCCTCGGGATTGAGTCTAATGACTGACGAGAGACGCTTTTATAGCATGTTATGCACAGAGTCTTTCGGTAAAAGTGACTATATATACTCGGAGACAACCTGGTGTTAAAATGATATACAAGCTATCAGGCTACTTTCTCTAAGATAACCATATTTTCAACTTTCTTTTTTTATGGGTTAACGAAAAATTATGAGGTGTAAAAAATATTTTAGGCGCCTTGTGCGTGATCACAACCGAGGTTTCAATAAACAGGACCTGGAAAATGGATGGAACAAGTTGACATGCTCATTTTTCATGTCAGAGACGATGTCATTAAGGCGCCTTCATACCCGAACACAAGGTGTAAGATGCTTCAGGTTTTCCAAAGCCTTTTTCCGCCAAAGACCTAGAAGCTTCCTCTCTAGAAAGTTTCACTGCCCCACAAATTTAATCGATGAAATGAGATCAGTCGAACAGTGATTTACAAAGTGGTTCTGTTCACGTTTCCCGATGGGAGTTTTACAAAATTGTGAGTTGTTTACTTTGAAATCCAACTGAGGAAGCCCAAATAAACTAAATAATCAGAAGGTTAATAATTCTTTGAATGTTTGCGCTGGCTTCGATAAATGGCACATATACAAATCACATAATTTATTTTGGAAAAGGTAAACATAGTTTTGATCCTGCTTGAGCGTTTGCCGGTTTTCGCCCTCTAGATCACACTTATCAAATGGAGTATTTATCATCAAGCTTAAAGAGAGCTTTTCCAGGTTAATCTCTAATTTCCTGTGTTGGGAATATTTCAGTTCCCTTAAAAATATATCGTATCGCGTATTGCCCAGTCGGTAATAGGATGCCTTCTTTACGTAGGCGTCCCAATTGTCTGCTCTCAAGGGCTAAACTTTTAGCGAGAGGTCAAGTTAAAAAAAAGACGTTATGGAGTTTTTATAACTTATGAGAACAAATCTAGAATATTTAGAGAGCCAATTATAAAGCTGGAAATTCTGGGGCTGTTCTGTTACGTTAGACGAGAATTTTGGCTCCTTATTGTCTCGAGATCTTCAGATTAATCTAATAAATACCTAATTAATTATACTCTTTCGGAAGGTGTCAAAGCGTATCTCGTATAGGAAAGTTCAAACAAACCAAAAACGAGTCCTTCACTCAACCTTCCGGTTGTGAAATAAAAACAAATCATTTCTCTATCTGGTAACTATGGCAACATGAAGACAAATGTGACAGGTAAACAAGTTATCTGATTCCTCCGAGTTTTTAGTTCTACTCTTTTGCATGATTAAATACTGAAGAATCCGTTATTTAATCAAAAGTACGCTATGAAGGCCGACTGGATATTTCATGATACCTGTGAATTTTGCTTACTTTCATGTCTGCTTCGGACATCAAAAATGCCGCAGAAAGGTTTTGTGTGGAAGAATCATTCGTTCTTTTAAGAAAGACAAAGACGTTGCCGAATAATTTAATTTCTTGCAGGTTTTGTAATGAAGAATCATCAATTTTTTTTAGAAAGACCAAGATATTGCCGAAGAAACTAATTTCTTGCAG